TAGGTGACCCCTCAGAGAGAGTTACAGGAGTAAGGGTTCCCTGAGGGTGCAGGAAGGGGGGTAGAGGGCGGGGGAGAGGGGAGAGTTGATAGCATTGATGATTGTATAACCCCACCTGATGGCACAGTGAGGTTTAATTCAGTAACTTGAGGATAATTTATCACCAGAAGAATATACAATATAGTAAAAGCGTTGCATCCTCTCACCATACTTATTCAATCTGTATGCTGAGCATATCATCAAAAACCTGGACTAGATGAAGAAAAATGCAGCACCAAAAGTAGAGGAAGGCTTATTAAAAACCTGCAATATGCAGATGGTACAACCTTGCTTGTTGAAAATGAGTAGTACTTGAAGCATTTGCTGCTGAAGATCTAGGATTGCAGCCTTTAGTATGGATTACAGCTCAATATAAAGAATAACAAAATCCTCACCACTGGACCACTAGGTAACATCCTGGTAAATGGGGAAAGGATAGAAGTTGTCAAGGATTTTGTCCAGCTTGGTTCCATCGTCAAAGCTCATGGAAGCTGCAGTCAAGAGATCAAAGGGTGCGTTGCATTTGGGTAATACATCTGCCACGCAAGACTTCTTTAGAGTGTTGAAAAGCAGGGAGGTTACTTAACTTTGAGGACTAAGGTGTGTCTGACTCAAGCCATAGTGTTTTCAGTTTCCTCACGTGCGTGTGACAGTCAGACACTGAATAAGGAAGACTGAAGAAGTACTGCATCTGAATTGTGGTGACGGAGAAGAATACTGAAAGTACCATGGACGGCCAAGAAAACAAACCAATCTGTCTTGGAAGAAGTATGGCCAGAGTGCTCCTTCGAGGCAAGGATGGCGAGACTTTGTCTTCCATACTTTGGGCACGGTGTCAGCAGAGACCGGTGCCTGGCAATGGGGACATCACGTTTGGTAAAGTACAGAGACGGAGAAAAAGAGGAAGACCTCGTGGCCACCACGTGGGCTCAAGCACGGGAACCGTTGTGAGGATGACGCAGGACAGGCAATGTTTCATTCCCTTGAGCATAGGATCACTCTGGGTCGGAAACCACTCAATGACACTTAACAACAACCACACAAATAAAGCATGGACAAAATAAACATCAAATTCAGGATAAAGGTGACGGGGAATTAGGAAAGGATCTATAAGTGTGGGGGCTCTAAAAGGATCTGCAAAGTGTTCTTTCTGAAGTTACGTAGCGTGATACAGGAGCGTGCACTGGGTTCCTCCTTCTATCCATTTGAATCTCCGAAGCAGTTTGAACTTCAAAATGCTTTCATGTATCAAGGCGATGCGCCACATCCAAACACTGCAAGAGAAAACTTACCTGATCCTATCACTAGATGCATTAGAAGCATTTAATAATGTTAAACATACATCCGTCCGTTTAAACAACTTGTCAAACGATGACTAGAATAAACTGATTAAAAGGACAACCAAAAAACCTACAGCAAGTATCATGCTTAAGAGTGACCTGTCAGAAGGAACAAGGCAGGATTATCTCTTAAGCATGGTACTTGGAAGTCTTAGCTGGGAAAAGGAGGCATTAAAAATAAATACTAAAAGAAGAAGTAAATACTAAAGATGAATATTAGAAAGGGGAGGTGCAATCTGCAGTCTACTTGATTTCATTTCTTTTAAAAAAATCATTTTATTGGAGGCTGGTACAACTCTTAATCATAATCCATATGTCCATCCATTGTGTCAAGCACATTTGTACATATGTTGCCGTCATATTCTATTTCATTTCATGATAAAGAGAACCACCAAAAGTTCAGAAATCTATTCGATGCATAGCCCTGACTTTAGTTTCTAAAGCTAATTACCTTCTAATACAACATACACCAACAACCATGAAATGTGATTTTACAAATATTCCATTTGCAGTAGCGACAAAAACTTGAAAATGCCCAGTACAAAAATCTAATTAAAGATGCAACAGATATTTGTAGAGAACTATAAATCTGTATCCAAAGGAATCAGAGGATGACTCTATACCAAATTCATAGATGGACAGGTTCCGTAGAATGAATTTGATAAACCTTGCCAAATTGATATTGTAATTCTATTCAATGCCAGTTAAAATTTGAGTAGAGCTTGGGTAGAATTTTGCAAACTGTGTCTAAAATTTATATGGTAGAGCAAATGACAAGAATAGCCATCTGTTTTGAGAAAAAGATAGAAAAAGTTTATCTTATTTAGATGCCAAATTTTTTAATGCAATTGTATATAAAAGTGTGGTATTGGCATGCATATAGTCAGATTAGACATATTTTCAACAATATCCCAGAAACAGATACACCGTATGTGAAAACATATTCTATAACTGGATATAATTGCACATCTTCATATGGCTAGCCATAGAAGAAAAATAAAATTGAATTAGATCATGGTCTCATACCTGAGTACAAAATAAAATCCACTTAAATTGCAAAGATAAAGCTTTAAAACCTTTAGAAAAACAGATATAGGAAAACATTTCTATGTTTTTTATATCCTTAAGACAGGTGTCCCTTAAGAAGACATAAGAGTACACTCATAAAGCAAGAAGGCAACATACTAGATTACAATGAGATTTAAAATATCCGTTTAACAAAAGAAGACTATAAAGTGAAAGACTGGGAAAGAATGTATGCATTGTGTAAAAGTAGCAAAGTGTTCAGATCCATAATATGTAAAGAAGTTTGAAAAATCAATACAGGAAAGAAAATCAACTTAAACAATTTAATTGAAACATGAACTAGAATAAGAATAAATAATGCACAACAGAGGAAACCCAGACAGCCAATAAACATGTGCAAAGATGATCAATTCTCCCTAATCGTCATGAAAATGCACATTAAAAAATTAAAATGAGATACCGTTTTACAGGTACCGGTTGGCCACGTTAACCTGTATAGTAATCCCACACAGTGAGGATGTGGGGAACACACACACAAAAAACCACAAATAGGCTAGTGGGGCTGTAAATTAGTAAGCTACTTTGAAGATAAATTAAAAACATGCAGTAAGGAGAAGGAAGATACTCCCTGCAAACATGTGATCCTCGTTCTAGGGATGTGCTGTAGACACACTCCAGGTGTGTACACAGGTGTGTACATGCCTACCACTGTGCACAGCAACATTCTTTGCAACAGCTCTAACTCCGTGGTTTTCAACCTTCCTAATGCTGCAACCCTTTTATACAGTTCTTCTTGTGCTGGTGACCCCGGGGGTATGTGGGCGTCTCTGCATGTGGGCGGACCCATCTGGAGATGGATAGAGGAGCGGTGTCTCGGTTTCTAAGATCATCTTAGAAAATATGGTCTTAGGTGACCCCTGTGGAAGGGTTGTTGACCCCCCAAAGGGGTCGCGACTCACAGGTTGAGAATCACGGCTCTAAATGCCCATCAACAGGAGATATAGAAAAAACCCTAGGTGGTGATGACATTCTTTTACGGAAATAGTATATACCCATGAAAATGAATGAACTAGAGCCACACGAGCAATATGCATACTCTCTAAAGCATCATGTGGAGGGAAAACAAGTTGCAATTACATCCAGTATGGTAACTTTTACCTAAAATTTGAGGCACGCACAATGATAGGCTGCATTATTTCTGGATCCACCTATGCTTATGGAACAAACATATGAAGACGTGTAGGGGAAGGATGCGCACCAGAGTTAGTTTAGGGATCACGCCAGGAAAGAATGGAAGGCAAATGGGTTTGCATAATTAATAAGAAGGATCCCATCATATCAGCGATGTTGTATTTGCTTACAAGTGAAAAATAAAATGTTTAAAAGGGAAAAAGAAAAAATTCTAGAACTATTTTAGCAAAAATGTTACGACTTAACAAAACAGGGTGGTAGGGATGGGGATGTTTTCCATGCCATTCGCCGAACCTTTTGGACTCCTTAAACTCCTTCAGGGTTTTCCAAGATGCATGGACCCTGTCTCCGAGTTCAGCTTGGTGAGGAGCTGACACTTGCTCTCCCCACTTGCCTTTCGTAGGTGATTCTCCGTCTGCAGAAGGAACTCCGGGAGCTGAAGGATGAACTGGCCGTGATCACAGGGGAGCCGAGGACGGAGGCGCTCACAGAAGCCGAGCTCCTCCAGTAAGCCTGCAGTCTTTGCTTTCCCCCCTCTTCAACAGTGCGAGTTTGTGTTAACTTCTTTGTTGGCCCTAACGTTATAAATTCACCTCAAAGCATGAGCGTCTCCCGGGACAGTCTGAAATTGCAGTTAGGCGCCAGTGAAGACTGGCGGCTTTCCATGAAAAACTGGATAAGGCTGGCAGTGTTTTTGCCGCCTCAGCTCCGAGGAAGTAAAGAACAGAGGATAGAGAGGATAGGAACAGTCTTCTCGTGCCAGCTATGTGAAGGGACTGTATAATAGTCATGCAATTTTCAAACACACACACACACCGTGCGCTCTTAAACTGTGGATCTCAGATTTAAAAGGAATTCAAGAAACATCTTTTGTATTCAACAGCATCTTGCTGCAAGCACCAATTTATCCCGTGCCAAAGTAAGCTCTCCCCTTTAATAAATAGATGGTCCATGTATTACAGTTCAAATGAAAGCAGGTATTCAGGGATTTAGACAAATGTGGCATCTTCCAGAGCCTTTAGATTTGCAGCCATATGGCGGATCAGTGGCACAATGTACCTTTCATTCTCCCTCTGATCGTGAGCCACGGTGGTGGGCCTTCTTGCTGTTTCTGTGCTGCATAGCAAGTGTTTGTGGAGTGGTAATAATGGACTAGGTTTAAAAGGCAGTAGCATATTCTAATTTCAAATAAGAAACAGCCCCAGAAGATGTTTCTAAAGATATGGAAACAATAACACTAGTTTTCTTTAAACTATTCTATGGTCATCCCACACATAACTCTAGCATCGATTTCCAAACTCATTGGGCCTCCCTAACTCCCTTTTCAGAAAAAAAATATCTTGACCCCCCTTGACAATTACCATCTTTACAAGATAGCCCATAATCCAGGATAAAGTGCCGGTGTTTGCTTTCACAGTCCACTTTGGGAAACACTGGTCCAGAGCTTGAGATGTCTTCAGCCAGGCTTCCAGCATGTATGAAACTTTCGCTGCGCTAGGTCTAGGATAGCCCATAAAAAAATCTGTCAAGTTGATTCCAACTCCCAGAGATACTATAGGACAGAGCAGAGCTGCCCCCAGAGGGTTCCCAAGGCTGTAAATCTTTTTTTATTTTTTATTTTACTTACAGTTTTATTGAGCTGAATTCAGCAATCTCATTCCCCCCACCAAAAAAAATTATTTGACTATGACTTCAGTATTGTGATTAGAAAAGAGAGGAGAATGAGAGCACATGTAATTTGCGTAGTTGTGTAATTTGATACACTAATATGCCCATTTCTATAATGCTGTTTTCTTTTTCTTTCCTTTGACTTTATTCTTTTTTTTTAATCAATTTATTGGGGCTCATACAATTCATCACAATACATAGATCAATTGTGTAAAGCACATCTAT